TCGACCAACCATACCAGGCTTTATACACAACAATATTTCCTAGGAGAAACCTTGAATGCTGCCCTTATCTAATTCACCTCGGCGGTCGAAGCGGTTATCGAGGGGAGCGGCCACTATGGAGATCACAGCTTAATGGAGTCCCAGGTGAGAACTAGGTGACCTCCAGAGGAGAAGCTACCATTAACATCCATAAATGTGTATCCACGCCTGGATGTGGTGTGTGGAATCAGCTAATGCAACTTTAAAGCATATAGTTTTTTGGTACCGGCTAATGGTATTCCATAGTACTTCCTTGATTGGTGCTCATGGAGGTACTGATGCCCCCTTTGAGGAAAAACGATGATTCTTGTTACGCACCGGTTACTCGCCAATTTTTAGATTATTTTGAGTTTACTTTCTTATCGGCCTTCTGTCGGTTTGTTGCTTTTCCCTGTCTGTTTTGCTTTACTTGGGTTAACACATCCGGCGCGTCGGTCTTACTCCGGGTGTCTGTTCATCGTTTGGGCTACTACAAGCCCATTCGCTGTCTTTAGGCTTCAACTGAGCAGGTCAGTAGTATGTTGACCTCGTGGATTAGTTCAGAAGAGCAAAACCTATGCAAGTTTTTGATTCGTAGATAATTTCCGGCTTTTGCTGATATTTAGACTAGTTAGTTCTGTAACGAACCTTTTATATTATTTGCCATGAATTTTGCTGCAATACAGTTTCAAATAAAAATTAGTTGAAAGCAGAAAAAGTTTTTGGATAATATTAGCTTCAGTAGTAATTGGTAAAGCGAAGTATGGGCAACCGTAAATAATGTGTAATGGTTTGTCTCAGTTCCTCAATCACAGATGTAATAACATCTTGTTTATTCAGGACTGTAACAGACGTACTGTTCTCCGAGCGCTGATAATGTCGAAATTGATACAAATTAACGCAACTTGATTTCTCTTAACTTTCTAGAAGACACATGTGTATTTTCTAAGCATGTTGCCAACCAGTGCTTTGGACAAAAAATTCCGCAATAAATTTTGAGGACTAATTCTTTTCTGTCTGCCTGCCTGCAAAGTCAATTTGTAAAGCATTTAGTTGTGAGTAGGTCGGATAACTATTTAATCAACACTTTCATTGATTGAAAAGTATGTTTGGCAAACAATGGTTTTTGGTTTTTCATCTTCAGGCCGATAAAATGACATGACTGTATGCCTCTCCGGATTGGAGTTCATATTGTAGCGTGTACTTTAAATGCTCTGGAAACTGATTTGGTCTTCTGCCCAGGGTTTGAGCAAACCTTAGTCAAATATGCGGAACAGTTTAGATTTTGCCACTACTTTCTGGGAAAGTTCGAAGAGTCTGGGCTCAAACGTCTGCTTTCTGGTAAGCAACAAGTTAGTCTATCCGCCCTATCACCGTTACTGAAAACTGACGTCAACTGTAGTTGTTATAGGCTAAAACCTCTTTATCACTTGCGCCAGACTGCTCAAATATCTGGATATGATTATCCAGCTTCCCGTCAGGCATTGAGTCCGTCTGATGGTTGGATCGGACCACTTGCAAGTACATTAAGCTTCCGTAGCTAACTAGGTAAACGTAGGTTCTGAACTTTTGATCAGTACCTGAGTCGGTAATATGTAAAAAAAAACAGATTTAGAAGAGCCGTCTTACAAACACGTTTGAGACTGTTTATTGCCAAACACAGCGGTATTGCTGTAGTATCACACCAGTTTACTGGAATCTCTAGATAGTTGCATTATTACCTTCAAGTTTGCTTTTCACACGAAAGTTTTTGGAAACTCAGAATGTTTGATTGCGCGTACGCCAGAAGTCTTACCAAAAACCCTGCAGGTTTCAATCAAAATTGAGTCACACTGAACACAGTTTATTTGTGTCCTTAATAAAAAGTTCAAAATATACACTTCCAAATAAAAGTAAAAGAGCCTGTACAAAGGAGGAAAGTAAAAAATGAAAAACGATGTTAATCGATTCTGGCATTTAGATAACTGGTAAATAAAAACGGCCTATTGGACAGTTTCCTTCCCATTCTGAGAATGATTGCAGGAGGGCGCTTTTACCTTTCTTTTCTCCCGCATCCTGCGATTTTGAAACCACGTCTTAATCTACAAGCAAGAATACCAAAATCATATTTAATACTTCTTTCAAAGCAATAACTAGAAACGCCCAGAAATCTTTTATACATTGAGTCTCTTTTGTAGTTGTCAACCCTAGTACAATAATAAAATCCATGATAGTAAACGGGAGGCCTGGGAATTAATAATTCAAGTTTTTGTTTTCCAAAACTAAATACGATTACTTTATACACTCAGAATCCGATCCGCCGTTGGGAAAATGGCATGTGCGTTGATTTTATTTCCTCTACATAGATTTAAACTCGTGGACCAATTGATATCAACGAATTACACCGGCGAGAAGTAAAAGTGTTCAATGGAGTTGTACTACACCGACTTCAATCTGCGTCTCGTAAAATTACTCCGGCCGAAAGAAGACCCTAAGTTTTGACTCTCCATTCCCTATGTGAAGAACGTATCAGGGGTGACTGCAAGAATCCTGAAAGCATTCGGGATCGGTGGAGCCCATAGGTCAGATTTTACCATCAAACAGCAGATCATGAGGCCCAAGGACCCGCTACCATTGACAGAACAGTCAGCAGTGGTTTACAGCATAACATGCCAAAACTGCGATGCAAGCCTTTGTTGGTGGAAGGGGCAAACGCCTTGGCACAAGGTTGCATGAGCTCAGAAGGCACACCTCACACGCTCCTCATGTAGGCGCTCGCGAGGGCGAGAATAATTCTAACAGCCACCAGCAATCAATCGGTACAACCGATCGGCGCGCGTGCATCAGGCACAGTTATAACACAAATTTAACGGTCAGACACACTCACTCGACGCCAGCAGGAGAATAGGCACTACGCTCTGACGATGAAAGCGAGAATGTTTTCGAAACGTCAGCTTAAATACAACTTGGTCTCGGGAATTGACCCTGCTTCTTTCTCTTCTGGGGATGATGAAAGCGGTGTGTTTTAATTTTATAATTTTGCAGAGAAATAGGCACCAAAGTTCACTAAACCCAGACCGTATTCTTCAAACTGTCAAGTAAACAAAAAGGTTACGACAATGAGAGTTTCCATAAGGATGAGCCGAACAATCTTATCTTAAAATGCCCCCTAATGCTAAACGGTCATGCTCCCCGTTGCGGTTTATGCACCCAACTGCGAGCATTATCTCCTGAAAGGAAGAATATCTCAGTAGAATGGGCTTTCTCATTCTTTTCGATGTTTACACCAAATCCGTTGTTTTTTTTTCTAGTAGACAGTGAAAATATGGTCGTGAAATACATCAAGTTGAATAAATAATGGTAAAACATAAGCTGCGCCACGCAAGCATTGCCGTATTCGAGGTTACTTGGCACTATAAGCCATCTGAGAAGTACGTTTCTTTAATCTTATTTCTTTTCAAAATTGTCGGCTATTTTCTATGGATATTTAGCCTGTGAGATTTCCGTGTATAATTATTGGCATTCCATCCCCGTTTTGATTGGTTAATGCATCCAGGACTTTCGGCCAATGAGATTCGGCTCGTACCCTATCCCGAAGTCTAATTCATAACCACAAATCCCCAGGCCATTTCGGAAACAGAAGAGGTTTGGACATTGGAAGCCGACATCTGATCACAGAGGGGAGAAATAAGTTCGCTGCTAAATTTCAAGAAACGTGACTCCCCACCGCTGAGACTTTTGTGATTATTCGATCATTCATTAAATGAAGAATATTTCTCTTTAATGACCTCTGGAGATATCCCGAGAAAAACTTGTTTGGCCTCTCAATCGCTTTTCGAGTATCTACTAAAGCCCCGAAAGCGTAGTTCGTATAGTCATTGTTTTGGTCAAGATTGAAATTACAGAAGTACATTTTTTTGGAGGAGAAGTGTCAATTTGCAAGTGGAAAGTATTATTTCGGTAAGTGTTTGGAACGGTTAAAATGTAAGTGTGCCTACGAATTACTTTTTCTGCCACTGTGTAGATGCTGTGGGCCGACATCCTATTCTGATTGACAAAATGGAAAGACAAATTATTTAACCATTATCCGACCAACAATTACAATCCTATTTACTTGTATACTGACAGTATTTCCTGTAAGATGTGCTAATCGAGTCCTTTTAAGCGCTTTACTTCACAAAATTTGTATAATGACATTTCGACCCTAGATTTCGACGAGCTTCACCGCGTGCTTCACGAAAGGCTACAGCAAGTGTGGTGATTTGCGCGTGGCTTCTATTATAGGGATAGTATACTTTCCACGTATCTACCGTACTCACTCTTCTTCGTCTGTGTAAATCCTTGTACAATTTTCCATTTAGGTGTTTAGTTTGTTTAAATCTGCTAGTTTTTTTCTTGCCGCATTTTTTGAAATACAACACATTTTCCGGCCAGCCTCTCTTGTATTTTCTGCACTGCATCTTCTCATCAGGCGGTCTTCTCCCCGCCCGTTCAACGACATCTACTCTGGTTATCAACTCCGGGCTCGGGATCAACGGTTAAGGACTGGAACGCTAGCGATCTACAAACTTCCCAGGTTCTAACGGTCGAACCGGACTTCCGACTTCGATCAATCCATCTCCCTTGCAAGTCAACCTCTTGGCTACTGCAAAGACAATCAGTTGGAACACGTAAGTCGTATCGCTTTCATTTATATCGCTATTTATAAATTTTTACTCTTGTTCCGTCATCGTAATATAGTAGTTTAGTTGCTACTAGTTAGTACTATGTTTTTAATTTTTGTCTTGCATATATTTCTAATACGTTTTATACGTTTTGAAGGCCTTAGCTACTACATCTACCTGGACCCAATGTAATTAAAGAATACAGCTCGGAGGTAGGAGAGGACGTCGGTAGCTGAGATAAGGAAAATCTACACATAAACCTACCATCCCACCCCGGTCCACAACAAACACTTGATTAAGAGTTTAACATAACAAAAAATAACAAAGTAAGTCATTAAATCATACCCTGTCCTCCGTTATACCCAACTGCTGAGCCAGAATCTCCCTTTCGCGCCCTGAAAGGTAGCTTTTCTTTTTATAAAAGTTTTCTAGAATTGATAGATCCTTCGGCTGGAAGTATACACGAGCTTTGCGATAGCGCTTCGCAGTCGAAGAGGCGATTGGGGAGAACGACATGTCCTCGGCAACTGGCGGCGAGGGCGCTATAGAAGAGGGCAGGCTGTCGGTCGGAGAGAGGTCGGAGCTGGATGAATGTCGGGTTTCTGTTCGACTGCCTCCGTTTTTGTCCGTGATGGTGGGGGTGATTGTGGAGCTCCAAGGAGAAAGGTCGCAGGGTTTGGAGTCAGGTTTCGTCGCGGGAAGGATGCGATTTACTCCGAAGGAGGAGGAGGTCGACGGTTGCACACTGCGAACGCCCGTGTCACTTTGAAGGACAAAAGTGCGCCAAGCTGCCATGAGGGATTGTAGATGGCGGATGTATTCTGTAGAAAAAATGGCCGGAAGCAATCTGTGAGTAGGTCGCGTTAACAAACCAAAGTTAATGTGAATTGGGGGCCAGGAAGTCCCGAACTGCTTGGAAATTGGACACGGTAAATGAACTACAAATGGCCGTTTTTATGTGCTTGCGTTTGTCAGAATAACTTATTAACCACTCCAAAACAGATAGGAGTTATTATTTCATTCCACAATTCACCTAGATCAGTGGAGGTCAGTCCCATGCAATTCTGAAAACGTGTCATACAGTTTGCACGGAAATGCTTTTTTTTAAATTTGCACATGCATTTTAGAGAAAACCGCTCGTAATAGTAGTCTCGAGGAAGTGTGAAAAAGCAAAACAACTCGGCCTGAAGCTTGAATGTGGACGCTGAACATTCGAGCCAAACGCGCAGTCGTGGACAAAATTGTACGGTGTGATGGAAGCCATTCACTTTCATGTGGAATAACGTTGGAACCAGGTGCTCAAAATGTTGTCAATCCAAGCAAACATGCGAGTCCCAGGAAGTAATTGAGAAGTAGAAGACAACTCAATCGTTGGGACACTGTGTTTATATGCCTGACGCTTCGAAATCCGCCTCGGATTCATCTTCAGAGACATAGTCACAGAACAGTAGCAGATACAGTTTG